GTCCATGACTCCGGCCGCGCCCGGGCTACGGCAGCGCGCTCGGGGGGGGAGGTTCCGCCGGAGAGGTGCGGGGCCGGCACGGGGCCTGCGGACCAGGCGGGAGAGGCGCCTGCCAGCGAAGGCAGGGCCAACCAGAAGGCAGATCGACAGCACAAAAAAAGCACACACACAATCGCCCTGGCATGACCAACACCGGCCCCGATTGGGTGCATTGCATATAATCATCTATAGAGAGAGAGAGAGGAGAGAGCGCGCCCACAGGGCCCGAGCAAAGGGGAGGGGGGGCTAGGCTTAAGCTACCCCCCCTCCCTTGAGCCGCCCTTGTTGGAAGCACCCCCCCCCCTCCCCCCATTGTTTTTGCAGGGGGGGGGGGGCTTTACAGCTACCCCCCCTCCCCCCTTGGGCCCTCCCCGGAAGCTACCCCTACCCCCCCTCCCCCCCTTTCCAAGGGGGGGGGGGTGCTTAAGCTACCCCCCCCCTTCCCTGGGCGCTGCCCTGCTGGAAGCTACCCCCCCCTCCCCCCCTTTCGTGCAAGGGGGGAGGGGGGGCTTGCTTGGAAGCTACCCACCCCCCCCCCTTGGCCGCCCGGAAGCTACCCCCCCCCCTACCCCCCTTTCCAAAGGAAGGGGGGTGCTTAAGCTACCCCCCCCTCCCTTGGAGCCGCCCTGCTGGAAGCTCCCCCCCCCCTCCCCCCCTTTGTGCCAAAGGGGGGGGGGCTTGGAAGCCCCCCCCCTTCCCCCCTTTGGCCGCCCAGCCCCCGGAGCCTCCGCCACGATCCCGATCGAGGATGGACGATCGAGGATGGACGATCCAAAATGAACAATCCACGATCGAGGATGGACGATCGACGATCAACGATCGACGATCGAAAATCCCAATCGAATCGCTTGCAATCGATTGCACTCCATTCCACTGCAATCCCCCTCCCCACCTCCCTCCGCTCCCTCCCCTCCCTCCCCACCCTTCGTTCCATCTCCTCCCTCCCCTCCCTCTCCTCCCCTCCCTCCCTTCCGTCCTGTCCCTCCCCTGCAATCCAATCGATTGAATCGTTTGCAATTCAACCGATTGCAATCCAATCGATTGCAATCCAATGGATTGCAATCGAATCGTTTGCAATCCAATGGATTGCAATCGATTGCAACGCAAGTGTATCATTCAACTCGTCCCGTGCCAACGCCCGGGAACGAAAAATTACCCTGGCGACGTACCCAACCCCTGCGCAAACGCGGGGCGCAAATAGTTTAGGACACTTTATAAGGGGGGCGATGACGGAGCGAGGGTTACATATGTCTGCAGACGGAATTCGGGAGACTCGCAGGACACTGGCTTCAGGACAAGGACTAGATAAAGCTGATTAGCTGCAATCCCTGAGCAACCCTAGCCACTTCGAAAGCGGGGATCTCAGATCGCAGCCCCCCAGGGATGGCGAGGTCTAATTTGGGTCCGCGCGTGGCGTCACTGTGCTGGGCCCCCCAGCAGGCCTCGAAAGTGGCGACAGTTTCACAGATCGCAGCCCCCCAGGGATGGCGAGGTCTAATTTGGTCCGCCGTGGGTCACTGTGCTGGGCCCCCCAGCAGGCCTCGAAAGTGGCGACAGTTTCACAGATCGCAGCCCCCCAGGGATGGCGAGGTCTAATTTGGGTCCGCGCGTGGCGTCACTGTGCTGGGCCCCCCAGCAGGCCTCGAAAGTGGCGACAGTTTCACAGATCGCAGCCCCCCAGGGATGGCGAGGTCTAATTTGAATCCGCCGTGGTCACTGTGCTGGGCCCCCCAGCAGGCCTCGAAAATGGCGACAGTTTCACAGATCGCAGCCCCCCAGGGATGGCGAGGTCTAATTTGAATCCGCCGTGGCCCTCACTGTGCTGGGCCCCCCAGCAGGCCTCGAAAATGGCGACAGTTTCGCAGATCGCAGCCCCCCAGGGATGGCGAGGTCTAATTTTGGTCCGCGCGTGGCCCTCACTGTGCTGGGCCCCCCAGCAGGCCTCGAAAATGGCGACAGTTTCGCAGATCGCAGCCCCCCAGGGATGGCGAGGTCTAATTTGGGTCCGCGCGTGGCGCCACTGTGCTGGGCCCCCCAGAAGGCCTCGAAAGTGGCGACAGTTTCACAGATCGCAGCCCCCCAGGGATGGTGAGGTCTAATTTGGGTCAGCGCGTGGCGTCACTGTGCTGGGCCCCCCAGCAGGCCTCGAAAGTGGCGACAGTTTCACAGATCGCAGCCCCCCAGGGATGGTGAGGTCTAATTTGGGTCCGCGCGTGGCGTCACTGTACTGGGCCCCCCAGCAAGCCTCGAAAGTGGCGACAGTTTCACAGATCGCAGCCCCCCGCAGGCAAGACAGGAGGAGGCAAGAAGGAGACGGGACGGGAAGGAGGAAGTGGAGACCACACTGCTCTATTCAAAACGAATACCCAATCAAGGAGGGTTGGGAAAAATACTATTCCCCCCGAAAGTTGCACGAAGTGTAATTCGGAGAACGCCAGCCCGTCGGGTTTGGCAGTGTTCGTGTAAGACGGCGGCCAGCTGGGGGAGGAGGAGGCGGAGGATGGGAAGGGGGGGGGGGGGCTCACCCCGGCTCAATTGTAGGGAGGGTGGGGGGGGTAGCTTGGAAGCACCCCCCACTTTCCGGACCACGAAAAGGGAGGGAGGGGGGGGGGCTTCCGAAGCCCCCCCCCCCTTTAGCAAGGAAGGGGGGAGGGGGGTAGCTTCAAGCTGGGGCCCCCCTTTTAGTCTGTCGGGCCCCACGAGCGCGGTCTATCGTAGATTTTGCTTTTGGGCGATCATCCAAGTAGACTTTGTTTTTAAGCGATAATCGAGGTTAGGCGATAATCCAGGTTGGGGGAGGGGGTGGAAGGTGCGAGCCGATGACGTAACCCTTTCGCGTTGGGCAGCCCCGCGTCGGCCCGCGCGCAGCCCGCCCCTCGGACTTGCGCGAGCGACGCAACTGAGGCCAACCCTCCACCGGATCGGAAACTCGGAATCTCGGGAGCGGCAAAGAGGGGGGTGTCCAAGAGGGGGGTGTGCAAATCATGACCGGCAGCATGTGCGCGGCCCAGCGGAGGGGCGAGGGACGTAATGAAATGAGAAGAGGCGCCATGAAATCTGGGGAGATATCATGGCTCGCGCCATGATATCCACCCCCCCTAGTCCCTAGTCATCACCTCCATCTTTTCTGCCCCCGAGAAATCGGATCGGCGACAAACCCGATCGGGAGCCACCGAAAAGCTACGCATCGGATCGGACCGTAATCGGAAACCCAGCAACCTTCGGACCGGAACCGGAATCGAATCCGCCGCGCCGGGATCGAAGTCGGTATCGAAATCTCGTACGACGGCGACGACTGGCCTCAAGTCGGGCGTGCCCCCATACAGGCGGATTTTGGACGAAAAAATAAAAAATAGCCAAAACATACCCCAAAATATCAAAAAACATAATCCGAAAAGAGTCCCCAGACTATGTTTTGACTATGTTTGAATATCACCCCTGTAGAAGGACAGGCCCGACTGAAGACTGGTCGCGAAACCATGATGGCCGCGAACCATACCAGGAATTTGGACGCCCGAAATGGTTACGGAAAACATGGGTACAATGCCCCCAGCAACACATGTTGTCCAAAACCGACAGCGGCCGCTGTTGGGCAGGCGGCTTCTTGTCTTCAACGAACAACGCCCGCGACGGCGCAGACAGCGAGTCCTGCTCAAAACGAACAGGAACTGCTATTGGACATCGCACCCATTCTTTCCGTACCCATCTCGACCGTCCCGAGAGAATACAGAACCAATCCTCGAACCGAGAGAACAATCCTCGAACCGAAGAGCCAATCCTCGAACCGAGAAAACAATCCTCGAACCGAGAGAACAATCCCCGAACCGAGAGAACAAAGAACGAATCCTTGAACCGAGAGAACGAATCTGCTCGTCCCGAAAGAACAAAAAAACAATCCTCGAACCGAACCGGCCGGACCGGAACGGCCCTCGGCCCGAACCGGCCGAACCGCACCGAGCCGTGCCTATGAACCGAATCGGCCGGACAGAAACCCATCCGACATACCGAACCGAGCCGAACCGGGCGCGACTCCTCTCCTCTTCCTCCTCCTCCTCCTCCTCTTCGTTCTCCTCCTCCTCCTCCTCATCCTCATCCTCCTCCTGCTTCTCCTCCTCCTCCTGCTTCTCCTCCTTCTCCTCCTCCTCCTCCTCCTCCTCCTCGTCCTCCTCCTGCTTCTCCTCCTCCTCCTCCCGAATCGACGAACGTCGGGAACGCCGGATCGAAACCGGCATCGGCATCCGCGCGCCGGATCGGAATCGAAACCAGAAAAAGCCAGAGAGATCGGACTGGAGCAGGAATGGGCAGGGGCGCATCGAAAACGGATAGGATCGGGTCGGAACAGGTCAGGTTATCCGGGGGGAGGGGGGGGGCCGGGTCCGATCACACGGGGTATCGCCAGACCCTGAACACACATCTCTCCAGGGGTGGGACATCTTGACCACAGGCTTTTGGTGCACTCGTCCACGCGGCTTGCTTCCGCCCGTGACTGCTACGTCGATGCTGCGGCGGGGTTGCTTCTGCCAAAACCCTCGAGCCAAAAAGCGCCACATGAGTTACACGTGAAAAGATGGGCAGCGTCGCTAATCACATTCTCGTCCAGCTCCTCTGCCACCAGCACGTTCCTTCATGAGCATGTCGGCCAGATGTCAGAACATGCATCGTGCAAGCACTACTGCGAGACATCAACCACATAGCCAAAAAGCAATCCGCCTCTCGTTTGCGACGAATGCAATGCATCATCGTATTTCTGAAACCAGCAATTCAGGTGTTCGGAGTTCACGTGACAGTGTAATTGCTCCTTCCTGCAGCTGCATCAGACCAAACCACCCACATGTATGATCCCTCATGCGAAGACGGGACCAGGAGTGAGGCCAGGTCTCCATCGTGTTGTCAGGGTTCGAGATTATTTGATTATGGTAGCTATCTCGGAGAGGCACAGCCCGAGGCATGGGCTGTTTTTTTCAGCAAGAAGACGCCCATTCTGCAATCCAAGCAATTGCAGACACATCGTGAGACTGGCCGCTTGTCAACACACTGCATGCCAGATGTGGAGCCCGATGTGCTTCCCGCCGACGTCGCCGATGCATCGCCGATGTCGCCGATGCCCCTCGCCAGTGCATCGCCGGTGCATCGCCGATGCATCTCGCCGATGCATCGCCGAGGCATCGGCGATGCGGCGCGATCCTCCGACCCTATCTAATCTGACCCCATTTGAGCGATGACCAAGGAATGGTCTTACGCGAGATAGCATAGCGACCCTGCGCGGTGGCTTGCGCGGGCCGCCCGCGCGGCACGCCACATGTGAAGCGAGGGCGCTCACGCGCGACCTTACGCGCAGAGCTCACGCGCCCGTGTCGGCGCCGACCTCATCGCTCACGTCGCTCGCGGCGCTCGTCTGGGAGGCCTCTAGCCTCTGCTCCTAGTCGAAGATGCGCACCTTCAGCGCACGGCCTGCCTCAGAGTCCGACCGCGGAGGCGCCGCGGACGCGCCGCTGGCCCGCGGCCCCGCGGTGGCGGGCGGGCCGCCCGAGCCACTGGCCGCCCCCTCGAGGGTGTCGTTGACTGCCCCCCCCCCCCGGAGCGTCCGTGGCGGGGTGGCTCTGGCCTCCGCGAGGGGGTACACGTCGGTCGGAATAAGTAGGTAAACAAACATGGAGCAGGAAGGCGGGTAGAGTACACTGAGTTCAGGTCCCCCCAGAGAATAGCAAAACACATCAAGAGCACGCCGATGCGTGAAGCAGAAGTCCCAAAGTACCTCCTCTCAACGACCGGCGCGTAGGGGTAGCGTAGCAGGCGCGGGCAGAATTGCAATCGCAGTAGCGCCCGCAGTAGTAGCAGCAACAAGTCCCCAATCAGTGCTCGCGAAGGAAGGGATCCCAGGATATTGAAGATTTGGCGAAAGTTCGCCGCCGATTTCGGTAGGCGGCTGGGTGCGGTGGCGCCATGCGAACCCTGCCACTGGGGCCTTCGGTGGAGTTCCCTGTGTAGCCACGGAACGTGTGAGGGGTGCGCCGAAATGGGTGCGGTGGCGCCACGCGAACCCTGCCACTGGGGCCTTCTGTGGAGCTCCGTGTGGGGCCACGAAGGGTGCGAAGGGTGTGCCGAAATGGGTGCCGTGGCGCCATGCGAACCCTGCCACTGGAGCCTTCGGTGGAGCTCCCTGTGTAGTCCTGGAACATGTGAGGGGTGCGCCGAATGGGTGCGGTGGCGCCACGCGTTCCCTGCCTCTGGGGCCTTCGGTGGAGCTCCCAATGGGGCCACGCGGAACGTGTGAGGGGTGCGCCGAAGTGGGGCGGGGCCGCCATGCGAACCCTGCCACTGGGGCCTTCTGTGGAGCTCCTTATAGGGCCACGAAACGTGTGAGCGGTGCGCCCAAATGGGAGCAGCAGGGGGAGCACAAGCCAGGAACAATAGCAAGAGGAGCAGCAACAGGAGGACCAGCCACGAAGAGCACCAGAGGAGGAGGAGCGCCAGAGGAAAAGCATCGGAACCTCGGAGCAGCAGCAGGAGCAGCAGGAGCAGCAGTGACAACACCGCATTCCTGGCGTTCCTGGCATCCCCAGCGAACCTGGTGCTTGCGAGCGCCACAACATGCTTGTGAGCACCAAATCATGCCTGTCAGCCCCGCAGCAGGCCTGTGAGGGGTCTGGCACCACCCATTAAGGGGGGGGGAGGGCGGCGATTCCCCGTCACGGACGTTACGGGTTCAATTGAAAGAAGCACTCCCCTCGTCCTCGTGGGGGGCCGCCAGCAAGGGCAGCATGACGGCGTCCGTCACACCACAAAACGCGTCGAACGCGTGCTTGCGGGCCTTGCACGCCTCCTCGCCCTGCGACGCCTTCGCGTTCGCCTCCGGGGAGACCAGAAGGTCTCGATACCGTTACTCCCCGGCCCTCCCGGGGTGCGTTCTGAGCAGGACTTCGAGGCGAGCCCAGCGGTGGCGACGAGGGCCTCCCTGAAGGCCGAAGCGGCATACGTGGAGGAGGAAGGAGGAGGGAGGAAAAGGATGATGATGAGGAGGAGGAGGAGGTAGAGGAGGAAGGGAAAACGCGGGAAGGGTAGCGGTATCGGTACCTTTTCCTCCTCCGAGCCTCGCCCCACGCGTCCCTCCGCCAGTGAGACATCGCGTGGAGGTGGCGCGGGGCCTTGCAGCCGCTGGGCAGCCACACGAAGCAGCCCGTGCTCCTGGGGAGGGCCGGCGCCGCCTCGGGCAGCGAGTCGACCACGTCCGCGGCCCGCGCCTCCTCGGCCGCCGCGTCAGCCTCGGCATCTGCCTCGGGCGCGGCCTAACCGACCCCTGGCAAAGCACCCCCTCCCGTGACGTCACCCTCGATCTTCAAGCTTCCCTCCGGCCGCAGACGCACGTCTTGGGGCGAGGCGAGGGGGACGTCACAGTAGGGGCTGGTTTGCGGGGGGTCGGTTAGGCCGCCCCTGACTACCTGCAGCACCGCCTCTGGCGCCTCTGGCGCCTCCCCCTGTCCCCCTTCATCCTCCACGAGGACCTCCCGAGGAGATGTCAGCAGCATGACGGTGTCCGTCACACCACACCACGCGTCGAACGCTTGCTTGCGGGCCTTGCACGCCTCCTCGCTCTGCCCCGCCTGCGCGTTCGCCTCGCCCCACGTGTCCCTGCGCCATTGAAACTTCGCGTGGAAGTGATGCTGGGTCTTGCAGCCGCTGGGCAGCCACGCGAAACAGCCAGCGCTCCTCGGTCGAGCTGGGCCACAGGCGAGACTGGATGCGGTGCACATGCGCCCTGGGGCCGAGGCGGCCTGTGTCGCGTTCTTCTCGTGCGCCTGTCCTGGGAGCTCCGGCGGCGTGTCCTGGAGCGTCTCGACGACCGGTGTGTCGGTGGAGACGCCCGTCGCGGTGGAGGCCTAGTAAACTTCTCAGAAGGCTGGGGGGCTTCCGAGCCTTCTGAGAAGGCCCGCCCCTTCTGACTTCCCCCCATGCTCGCCGCCGACAGAAGGGATCCTGGAAGAGGCCAATTATCCTGGCGAAGGACCCAACCATGTGCATTTGTGAATACCGCATTTGTGAGCCCCGCCTTCGGTGGAGCTCCCTGTGGAGCCACGAAACGCCTGAGGGGTGTGCCGAAATGGGTGCGGTGGCGCCACGCGAACCCTGCCACTGGGGCCTTCGAAGGAGCTCCCTGTGGGGCCACGAATCGTCCGAGGGGTGTGCCGAAATGGGTGCGGTGGCGCCATGCGAACCCTGCCACTGGGGCCTTCGGTGGAGTTCCCTGTGTAGCCACGGAACGTGTGAGGGGTGCGCCGAAATGGGTGCGGTGGCGCCACGCGGAACGTGTGAGGGGTGCGCCGAAATGGGTGCGGTGGCGCCACGCGTTCCCTTCCACTGGGGCCTTCGGTGGAGCTCCCAATGGGGCCACGCGGAACGTGTGAGGGGTGCGCCGAAGTGGGGCGGGGCCGCCATGCGAACCCTGCCACTGGGGCCTTCTGTGGAGCTCCTTATAGGGCCACGAAACGTGTGAGCGGTGCGCCCAAATGGGAGCAGCAGGGGGAGCACAAGCCAGGAACAATAGCAAGAGGAGCAGCAACAGGAGGACCAGCCACGAAGAGCACCAGAGGAGGAGGAGCGCCAGAGGAAAAGCATCGGAACCTCGGAGCAGCAGCAGGAGCAGCAGGAGCAGCAGTGACAACACCGCATTCCTGGCGTTCCTGGCATCCCCAGCGAACCTGGTGCTTGCGAGCGCCACAGCATGCTTGTGAGCACCAAATCATGCCTGTCAGCCCCGCAGCAGGCCTGTGAGGGGTCTGGCACCACCCATTAAGGGGGGGGGAGGGCGGCGATTCCCCGTCACGGACGTTACGGGTTCAATTGAAAGAAGCACTCCCCTCGTCCTCGTGGGGGGCCGCCAGCAAGGGCAGCATGACGGCGTCCGTCACACCACAAAACGCGTCGAACGCGTGCTTGCGGGCCTTGCACGCCTCCTCGCCCTGCGACGCCTTCGCGTTCGCCTCCGGGGAGACCAGAAGGTCTCGATACCGTTACTCCCCGGCCCTCCCGGGGTGCGTTCTGAGCAGGACTTCGAGGCGAGCCCAGCGGTGGCGACGAGGGCCTCCCTGAAGGCCGAAGCGGCATACGTGGAGGAGGAAGGAGGAGGGAGGAAAAGGATGATGATGAGGAGGAGGAGGAGGTAGAGGAGGAAGGGAAAACGCGGGAAGGGTAGCGGTATCGGTACCTTTTCCTCCTCCGAGCCTCGCCCCACGCGTCCCTCCGCCAGTGAGACATCGCGTGGAGGTGGCGCGGGGCCTTGCAGCCGCTGGGCAGCCACACGAAGCAGCCCGTGCTCCTGGGGAGGGCCGGCGCCGCCTCGGGCAGCGAGTCGACCACGTCCGCGGCCCGCGCCTCCTCGGCCGCCGCGTCAGCCTCGGCATCTGCCTCGGGCGCGGCCTAACCGACCGACCCCTGGCAAAGCACCCCCTCCCGTGACGTCACCCTCGATCTTCAAGCTTCCCTCTGGCCGCAGAAGCACGTCTTGGGGCGAGGCGAGGGGGACGTCACTGAAGGGGATGGTTTGCTGGGGGTCGGTTAGGCCGCCCCTGACTACCTGCAGCACCGCCTCTGGCGCCTCTGGCGCCTCCCCCTGTCCCCCTTCATCCTCCACGAGGACCTCCCGAGGAGATGTCAGCAGCATGACGGTGTCCGTCACACCACACCACGCGTCGAACGCTTGCTTGCGGGCCTTGCACGCCTTCTCGCTCTGCCCCGCCTGCGCGTTCGCCTCGCCCCACGTGTCCCTCCGCCAATTAAACTTCGCGTGTAAGTGATGCGGGGTCTTGCAGCCGCTGGGCAGCCACACGAAACAGCCAGCGCTCCTCGGTCGAGCTGGGCCACAGGCGAGACTGGATGCGGTGCACATGCGCCCTGGGGCCGAGGCGGCCTGTGTCGCGTTCTTTTCCTGCGCCTGTCCTGGGAGCTCCGGCGGCGTGTCCTCGAGCGTCTCGACGACCGGTGTGTCGGTGGAGACGCTCGTCGCGGTGGAGGCCTAATAGTAAACTTCTCGGAAGGCTGGGGGGCGTCCGAGCCTTCTGAGAAGGCCCGCCCCTTCTGACTTCCCCCCAGGCTCGCCGCCGACAGAAGGGATCCCAGAAGAGGCAAAAAGCATGACCCTGCAGAAGGACCCAACAACATGCAAGTGAGAGTGACGCAATTGTGAAAATCGTCTTCGGTGGAGCTCCCTACGGGGCCACGAAGCGTGCGGGGGTTGCGCCGTAATGGGCGGGAAGACGCATATGAGCACTGCCGCTGGGGCCACCCTCTATGGAGCCACGAAGCATACGAATGGTGTGCCGTAAAGGGCGGGAAGACGCATGTGTGCACTGCCACGGAGGCCTTCGGTGGAGCTCCCTATGGGGCCACGAAGCATGTGAAGGGTGTGCCGTGCTGACTGGGGGAGACGCATGTGAGCACTACCGCTGGAGGCCTACGGGGGAGCTCCCTGCGGGGCCGCGACACGTATTAGGGATGCGACGTAATCGGCGGGGGAGACGCATGTGAGCACTGCAACTGGAGCCTTCGGTGCAGCGGGGGGGACGCGTGTGAACAGTGCAGCCAGGGTCGTCGGTGGAGGGAGCTCCCGATCGGGCCACGAAGCGCGCGAGGGGTGCGCCGTGATGGGCGGGGGCGACGTGTGTCTGCACTGTCACTGGGGCTTTCAGTGGAGCTCACGATGGTGCCACGCAGCGCGTGAGAGGTGTGCTGTACATGGGCGGGGGGAGGCGCAAGCACTGCCGCTGGGGCCTTCGGTGGACCTCCCTAGGGGGCCTCGGAGCATGTTAGGGTGGGCTGGAATGGGGGGCGACGCACGTGAGCTCTGCCACTGGGGCCTTCGGTGGAGCTATGGGGCCACTGCACGTGTGAGGGGTGTGCTGAGCTGTGGCCGTTGGTGATGTTGATGACAATGATGGTGGTAATGATGCTGTTGATGATGATGATGATGATGATGATGATGATGATGATGATGATGATGATGATGATGGTGATGGTGATGTGATGTGATGATGATGGTGATGGTGATGATAATGATGATGATGATGATGATGATGATAATGATGATAATGTTGTTGATGATAGGGTAAGGCCATAACGGTCTGGGAGCGGTGCCCGGCATGCTGTTGCGGATGATACTGATGATGCTACAGATGATGATACTGATGATGATGATGATGATGATGATGATGATGATGATGATATTGATATTGATAATGCTGATGATGCTGATGCTGATACTGATGCTGATGATGATGCTGATGCTGATGCTGATGATGCTGTTGATGCCGTGGCTGAAGTTGCTGCTGTTCCTGCGGCTACTGATGATGGTGATGATGACGACGTTGATGATGATGTTGATGATGATGGTGATAATGCTGATGATGCTGGTAATGAAGATGGCGAAGAGTGCGAGTCGAATAACGGTGATGATGGTGATGAGGAGTGAGGAACACGAGGCGCTGCCGATTCAAAACGGGGCCCAACACCACAACGTGGTTGGGAATTGCAAACTGTTTGCTTTCCAATGCTAATTTTTCGCTTTCTCGCTTCCGATCTGTGTTGTGGAGGAGGCCTCGAGATGGCCTAGGGTCCACAAGGGCCTGGAGGCCTGTGGGCACTTCAGGCGCCAAGGACGCTTCTGTCCAACATCCGATAAGAAGGCCGACCTCTCGTATAGACCTCCTAGACGGGGTCCAAATACATAGGGTCGGAGAATCCCGCCGCATCACCGATGCATCGGCGATGCACGCGTGATGCATCGGCGATGCGTCGGCGACGTCGGCGGTGCATCGGCAACGCCAGCGCCGAGACGATCGTGCTCTGCATCGAGCCGCATCACCGGTGCATCGGCGATGCGGCGCGATCCTCCGACCCCGTCTACTCGGACCCCATCTGAGCAACGACCAAATACAAGTCTGAAGCGAGATGACGTAGCGACCTTACGCGGCGATTTGCGCGGGCCGCCAGCGCGGCATGCTGCTTTGGAGAAGCAGGCGCTCACACGCAACCTCACGCGGGCAGCTTACGCGCCAATGTCGGCGCAGAGGACCCCGTTTCTTTGCGTCGCTCATCTGGGAGGCCTAGATCTTGATCGTGAACGCTTTCTTATTCGGCGTTCCGACATTGGGCGGAAGGGGGAGGGGAAGGGGGGGGATCTGGCTCCTGACCCCTGCTTAATGCGACTGCATGCAACAGTGCGTCCTATGGGGGGGAGACTCCACCCTGCTTGACACAGGCGCCCAAACCAGCCAAGATCTACTCCATGAGGGGGGGGGGGACGAGGGGGGTCGAGGGTCTGCGCCCATCGCCACAGCAACGAATACGAGAACGATCACATCCCGGACTCTGTCGCCGAGGAGCAAAAACGGCGTGAAGCACAAACCGTCCCAGGAGCGCGAGGCTCTGCCGGGCCGGCGCAGGACCCTCTCGCGCACCCCCCTGGCGCCGGAGGCGCCAGCCCAAGGGGGGGGGCAGTGCCGAGCCCCGAGGAAGCCGCGCAGACCAAAGTTTGCCGTCGAGGCGTGGCCACAAGAGCGTGGATTCGCCCGAGCGGAGCCAGGACGCGGACAAAGCATCGGGTGAGGATGCATCGAGAATATCTGAAATCCTGCGGCTTTGGAGGATGCCTCGGGTGCCGCGGCCCTCTCAGAGCGTTCCGGAACGCTCCGAGAGCAGCCTGGACCTGGGGAAACCAAAAGGTACCGATACCGCTACTCCCCGGGGTGCATTCTGACCAGGATTTCGAGGCGAATCCAGCGGTGGCGACGAGGGCCTCCCAGGACGCCCAAAAGAGGGAAAACGAGGGAAGGGTAGCGGTATGGGTACCTTTTCCTCCTAAGAGGTACGCTCTGGAACGGATTCATCCTCGTCCTGGCCCCGTCCGATGGATCAAGAGCGCGATCCCTGTGACCTTGGGATAAGATGCCCCGTGGAGACATCAAGAATAAGCGACATCCCAAGCTGGGAAACCCAGGCACGAATATAACATGCACCCCGGTTGCGAAAATATACCTGTTCACCTTGGCTACAGCGTCATGGCTGGTCGAAATGCTGAGAGGTCGCCCGGGTGAGGTCTCTCCGTTGTGCATGCCTACGGGGAAACATGTGGAGTTGCCTGAAACTGGCCAGGGGGGAATTCTCCCACGTGGGTCTACACGGGGGGGGAACTGTATGTTAACGGTTGCAATCTATAACTGTAGCCAGGAGGGCCCCAGAAGGCTCTCCCGCCCAGCCATGCCGAAGGGCATCATGCTAAGCATCTGCGGGGAAAGGGGAGGGCCGCTCGGCGGAGCTCCAGCCGCTTGTGCCCACGATGAACAGCTTTCGCAACGGGGAATCATGTCCTCCTTGGAGGCGCGCGTCCGACCCGAACAAACAGTATGCCCATCTTACAGTATAAGATGTCTCGCTGCGCGCATCGCCCCGGGGGAGCGACGTACACATCGCACCAGTATGCTGGGGTGACGCCGGAAGCAAGGATATCCCTCCAAAGCTAAGTTTGCCCCCGCAATCGAGCCTCTTGAGCCGTCTCGGGCCATCTCGGCGTCATCTTGGCTGCTCTGAACGGGGTCCTGGAGTCCATGCGGCTCCCCAAAGAGGCCTCGACACATCTTTACAGGACCCCCATGACGGCCTGCGAGGTCTCCAAGAGGCTCTCCAAGAGCGCCCGACGAGTCCAAACGCCGGAAGCAAAAAGAGATCCCTCCAGAGCTAAGCCTGCCCCCCCGCAATCGAAGCACGACCACGAGCACGATCAGGCGGAGCGTGAGCCCCTTCGCCGAGTGCCCGGGGGCCCCATGCGGAAAGAGCCGGGGCAGACAGAGAAAACACCTCGCAGGGTTGGAGGGCCCAGCGGCGAAGAACATCAGGGTGCCCCTCCAAAGCTATGACTGTTGGTGTGAACGTTTTCTTGTTCGGCGCTTCGACATTGGGCGGAAGGAGGGGGGGGAGTGGGGGTCTGGCTCTGGACCTCTGCTCGTGAACGTTTTCTTTGATTCGGCGTTCCGACATTGGGCGGAAGGGAGGGGGGAAGGGGGTGGGGTCTGGCTCCAGACCGCTGCTTGATGCGACTGTTTGCGGCAGTGCGTCCTGTGGGGGAGACTCCACCCTGCTTGAAACAGGCGCCAAACACAGCCGGAGGGGTTCGAGGGCCCGCGCCGATCGGCAAAACAATGGATCAGACAACGATCGCCTTAACCCTCGCGCCGGCTGTATGTTTACGCATGTTTGTTTTGATCCTCGATCTCGCTCGCGGCCGATCGCCCCGCAGAGCGGTACGGCAGTCGGCCTCGGCTGCGGCGGCGCTCTGCAGCTGGATTGCTCCGGCGGGCGCTCCCAGGAGCAGGGCGGCAAGGAAGCAGGCGCGTGCCCGCGGCATCGCGTGGCAGGGCGGTACAACAGAAGGTGCTGAAGTTCGACGGACAAAAGCCTTGAGCCAAGACGGAAGCGACCCCCAAGAGGCCTCCAAGCCGGCCCAAGAGGTCCCCAAGAGGGCCTCCAGAAGGCGTGCGGAACGAAAATATGGGGACTATTTTTTACAATTTTCACAATTTGTTATGCATTTTCTGGGTATGCTGGATTTTTCCTCCAAAATTGGCCTGTAGGGGGACAGGCCCGCCTTAAGCTTATCGGGCAGGCGACCCGCAGGGGGCAGGCGGCGCGAGGCCGCGGGAACTCCCACAGGGGCCACGACGACTGGCCGCGGGTGCGCCGAGGTGGGGAACGCCGGTGCCCGGACAGCAAGGGCTCCTACAGTCGGCCTTGATTGGACAGGACACGCGAGACGACTGGGGGGCAAACGAACCTACCTCGCTTTTGACCACCCTCGCTTCCAAAAGATACCAAGCGATGCCAAACTACGGCCTGCACTGGCCAGGCCGCTGGACGAGGAGGCGCGTGGCATGGCACGGTTTTGCCTGGAAGCGAAAGCGGGGCAGGTAACTCACGCTCTGAAGGACACGAGACCCTTCCGAGGGCCACGCGGCCACGGGAATGCGGGAGGCACGGGTCGCAGGACACCGGGACACGAGGGCACCCCCGATCCCTAGCAGGGTCGACCTACTGATCCGGGCCGCCTGCAGGTTCGCGCGCCGCGCCGCGCGAGGCGCGAAGGGCGAGCGACTTCGCGCTCGCGCGCCGCCTCCCAGGGGAGGACGAGGAGGAGCCGAGCCGCGCAGCGCGAGGCGCGAACAACTCCGCGCCCTCGAGGGCGCCCTCGCGAAACTGGCCACGGGTGCGCCGAAAGGGGGAGTGCCGGTGCCCGGACAAAAAGGGTCCGCGCCGAGGGCGCGAGAACAATCAAGCATGATGGCAACGACAATTGCAATGTACGTGTCATGTGGCTCGCCCCCCCTCGCCCCCATATGTTGTCACCCGCGCGTTGCCTCGCACCCAACCCCGTGAACTTTGGGTTGGGGGGGGCGGGGGCGATGGATATTTATTTCTTCGGCGCAGTTCGATGTCGTATCATATTGGCGCGAAGGGCGTGGACACTTCTTGTCCACCCGCCGGCGGGGGGGGTCTAGGGGTGGGCGCACGCGAACCCTGCCACAAAGAAGCCGTCGGTGAAGCTCCACATGGGGCCACGAGGCGTGTGAACTCTGCCACCGGGGGCCCTCGGTCGGGGGCTCAGCACGGAGCCACGGAGTGTGCAGAGGGTGAGCCGACGAGGGCGGCGCGAGCGCATGCGAATTTTGCCCCTGGAGCCTTCGTCGGAACTCCCAGTGTGAACACGAAACGCCAGGGGTGTACTGGAACGGGTGGCAGGAACGCATACGAATTTTACCACTGAGACCATCGATGAAGCTCCACATGGAAACACGAAACGGCAGAGGGGTGTCCCAGAAGCAGCGGCGGGAGCGCATGCGACCCTATGGGGCGACGAGACGCGGGAGGGGCGTGCCGAAATGGGCAACGGGAGCGCATGAGATCTTTGCCACTTGGGCATTCATTGGGGTTCCATACGAAGCTACGGAACGTGTGACGGGTGAGCCGAAATTAACGGCGAGAAAGCATGCGGACTTTGCCACTGGGACCTTGAGTGGAATTCCATTTGGGGCCATGGAGCATGCAGTGGGTGTGCCGAAAAGAGCGCCGGGAACGCATGCAAACATTGCCACTGAGACTTTCGGTGGATCCCCTTATACATGGGACCACGAAACGTGTAGGAGGTGTGCGGAATGAGAGCAGAGAGAGAGAGAGGAAGGAGTGACGCGGGGCGCTGCTTATTCAAAACGAAGACCCAACACCACAGGATAGTTAGAACAACGAAGATGCTGAATATAACGATGAAGTTGGGACAGAGAGAGAGAGAGAGAGACCGATGAGGGGGGAGGGGTCAAGAGTGGCGCGGCGGGCTGCTGATCCAAACCCACAGGATGGTTGGAAGCAGCCCCGAACGATGCTTGCACTTGAAGCGAAGCCAAGCGAAGCGAAACGAAGCGCGCAGGACCGCCGGAGCGGGACTCATGAGGCTAAACTGCGCACGTCTAAACGCTGCACACGTCTAAAACATCCTGAATGGTACATTCTGAGGGTTGGCCTGCCGCTCACTGGTGGGCGCAATGCTGTTTGTCGCGAGCGGCATGTGTCCAACGCGGCGTGGACATCTTTCCGTTCGCAGTGTCGTCTTTATGTCATCCTCCGAGCCCGCTCACGGCGATCAGACAGAGCACAAGTTTGCGCAGACGTGTCGAATGGACCTGCAGACCATAACACACCAGAAGATTTATCAATTGAGAAATAGCCGCCGGCGTCGCAGAGATGGGACCTGGAATGTCACGGGCCCGTGCCGCAGCATGGGCGCCTCGCGGGCGCCCCGCGCTTGGGGGGCGTGCCGACACCGCGCCACGCTGCTGCCCGTGCCGTGTGCCGAGTGTGCGCCGCGCGGCCGCCCATGCCCCGCTGTGGGCGCCCCGCGCTCTGGGGGAGTGTATACACCGAGGCTGCGCCACGTTGCCGCCCGTGCCGCCTCGTGGGCGCCCCACGCTTTGAGGGGGGGCATGGGGTGTGCCGAAATCGGCCCCGGTGCCGCCCTTACCGCCCCGCGAGGGCGTCGTGGGCGCCCCGCGCTCTTGGGGGGCATGCCGAAAATGCGCCGTGTTGCCGCCCGCGCGGCCTCGCGGGCGCCCCGCGGGCGCCCAACAGGCCGCATATCGCATAGCTTACACCTGGCAAGTCCCACCTCAACTTCGCGCAGCAGAACTTACACCGCATGGCATGCATCTCGCAGTTCACGCAGCATTAGGTTTCACCCGCATGGTTAAAACCGCACCGCTCACTGCAAAGATGTCATCACATAGCTTGCACGGCACACACTTGCCTCCAAAGCGCAATCGAGCACTGTTTGGGCCCCACGAGTGTTAACCGTTGTGCAAACAAACCTATATATATACATAAATGTGTGTACGTAGATGTGCTTTCCAACGCGGCCCCTAAACAGTGAACTGTAGCACTGCTGACATGCACGCTATGCAATGTGATCGATGTGGTGCAATTTGAATGTCGTGGGCTTTGATAAGGCGTAAGCTGTTTGGCATACATAGAAATGACGTGCGACTTATGTGATAAGAGCTCCATTGTGCGAGCTACGGACTGCAATGTATGTGGTAACAAACAAACGGTGCAAACTTCCTTGTGCAAGTAAGTTTGGCCAACTCATGGTTGTCAACTGCCGTGCTCGCGTAACTAATCCACCCTCCCACCCGAAAGTTGATTTGAAAAACCCACGCGGCCGCTGTTGCGGATGTGCTCGGCACTGGCTGGCGCATCTCTGCGGCCGCGCTAGAAGGCACAACCCACGCCCGGAGACGCCAGCTGGTTTGGCACAACTGGTGTGGCCATGATGGCGCTTGCAAATAAGAACCTCCTGGCGCGTCTCAGGGGCCGTGCTTGCGCACGGGCACTGCACTTCAATGCGGGTCGTTGACTCGGGCGGGCGCGATATCACGATGACGCCAGCTACAGCGAAAACGATGATGATGATGATGATGATGATGATGATGATGATGATGATGATGATGATAGGAAACTTGGTTGTGGCGATGGTGACGATGACGCAGGTAAGGCAAATTCGGCGCCGACGCTGGTGATAACGGTGACGGTGATGATGCACGCGTGGGTAATGAAGGCGGTTGACAGATGATGGCGGCAATGGCGGCGATTAGCGGTGACGATGACGGCGGTGGTGCGGTGGCGCTGATGCGGCAAATGGGAAGGAAATGCGCGCGCAGGAATTCAAGAAAACCGAGCGGTTGCATCTTGACCAACATTTTGGTTGTTCATATGTCCTTGAGAAACTCAAATTCGGAATGAGTTTAAAAACCGATGTTGGACGGGTTCCGACACGCGCGCGTGGCGTTACGCGCGTTGCCTGCATGGTATTTTCAAATGGATTACTACACTGGGCGCATGCTGGATCAACGCAAATGCAAAGCATGATGAAATCAGAACGTGGCGTCTGGATGATATTGCGGAAACCATGTGGTTCCCAACATTGCAAAATACAACACGGGATGGCACTGCAACATGTCATACGTGATGACTCTGCAAGAACTGAATCATATGGCGGACAATCTGCAACATTAGGGGAAGGAATAATGACACAAACATAAATACTCGGAGGTCCACGCGGGATGTTTTTTTTATGTCATGCCCTTCCCATAATGTTGCAGGTTGTCCGCCATATGATTCAATTATTGCAGAGTCATCACGTATGACACGGTTCAGTGTCATCCCGTGTTGGATTTTTGAACATTGGAAACCAAATTGTTTCCGCAATATCATCCAGGAGGCCACGTTCTGATGTCATCAGAGCTTTTATGTTTATGATGTTGTTCCTTCCCATAACACGTGAGAGCAAAGCGAGGGATGTTGATATGTGTGTCGGCTGAGATGCCTGCACAACTAAAACAGGTTTCGTGTGGTTTCGACGCGTGTGCGTGCGTGTGACCTTGGTGCAATGCTTTTCCAAGGGGCTCGTGAAACAGGAGTCTTTAGGAAATCAATGGAATTCCTTTGGGAATATGTGGGAATCCTTAGGACATCCATTGGATTTCTTAGGAAATCCGGCGGGCTCAGTAGGAAATCCACATGGTTCCTTAGTTGACATGGATGAAGGGGGGTCGATAGACGTTTGAGTTGAACTGGTCTGAGTACATTTGTCAAATGATCGACGGGGCAGAACCATACTTACATTTTACTCTTCCAGGGTGTGCCACCACGACGACGACGACGAGGACGAGGAGGACGACGACGACGACGACGACGACGACGACAACGACGACGACGACGACGACCGACGACGGCCGCCTCTGAAGCTCTCCAGAGGTCTCTGCTGGAAGCCTCAGGAGATCTCTGGAGGCCCCCAGAACAACGACGAAGAAGAGGCCGGGAACGAAGACGAAGACGAGGACGACCAGGACGACGACGGCCGCCTCTG